ACGACCAACAAGGAGGTACCGGTTGGGGTCGCGGTGCGAAATCTGGACGTGGGGGCAAGTCGGGTGCTGGTGGCAAAATGAAAGGGAATTGCTGGTATTGTGAGAAGGAAGGGCACCCCTGGTTTTTGTGCTATAAGAAACCCGATGGATGGACCCCCCAGAATCGTCACCAGGATGGCGGCGCGCGGAGGAACCAGAAAAACGGCGCCAACATGGTCGCTGATTCGTCCGACAACAACCCGAAGGGCAACGGCGGTGCGGAGAAGAAGAAGGAGCGCACCGCGGGCCAATTCTTCCATATGGGAGACAAGGGGGAGCAAGGAGACGCATCTGCTAAGGCTGGAGCAGAGCTGCACCCCCTGGACTATTGGGTGTTGGACACAGGCGCTGCTTGGACAATGACGCCGCGCAAGGACCTGCTGGACGACGTACGCGCTGCACCGATTAATGAGGTGTGCTCTGCCTCTGGACACATGTTGAAGGTGGCTGGTGCGGGACGAGCTGCATTTAAGGGAGCGGATGGCAAGCCGGTGGTGCTGCACGACGTTCTCCTCGTCCCCGACCTGAAGGCCAACCTCATCTCCCTCCGTAAGCTTGGCAAGGCTGGGGTGAACACCAACACGGATGGGGCTCGCACTTATAAGGGGAAGCTGGGCAATCGGGTGCTTTGGGATCTGCACGAGAGCAAGGACGTGTACAGATCTATGTGGCAGCTGCCGGCGCTGGCGTGGCACGGTGGGGGGCAGGCTGGAGAGGGGTCTGCATCCCAGGGGGAGTGCAACGCCGTTGGAGGGGTTGGTGTGAAAGTGTCGGCCAGATCTGGGGAGACAGATTGGGCAACTGCACACCGACGTTTGGGGCATGTGGCAATGCCTTTGCTGAAGCAGCTGGAGAAGGATGGAGCCGTTAAGGGCTTAAAGCTGAACGGACAACCACCCGATGATAACTGTGAAATTTGCCTCCTTTCAAAGTTCACCCGTTTCCCCTTCCATAGTGTGGCTGGCAGGAGCAAAAAGCCGTTGGAGCTGGTCCACATGGACTTGGTGGGGCCGCTGCCGGTGCAAGGGCACAAGGGGGAGCGGTACTTCCTAACCATAGTGGATGACTGGAGCAGGCTAATGTGGGCGTATCCGCTGAAGCAGAAAGATCACGCCGCCTCCACGATTCGGGACGATTGGCTGCCGTTCGTGGAGAAGCAAGCGGAGTGTGTGGTGAAGCGGATTAGGACAGATCGGGGTGGTGAGTTCCTTGGAGCTGAGATGACGGCCTGGCTCAAGAAGCAGGGCATCCAGAGGGAGCTGACCACGGCTTACACCCCACAGTCTAACGGTGTAGCAGAACGGGCGAACCGGACAATTCTGGAGACAGCTAGGGCGCTGCTCATAGAATCTGGGCTGGGCAACTCCATGTGGCCCCATGCTGTTCGGCACGCTACGGTCGCTAGAAACAGGGTACTCACAAAGGTTGGGGATGACTCGTGGGTGCCGTTGGAGAGGTGGCTTGGGAGGAAGCCGCCGGTGGACATGCTGAGGGTGTTCGGTTGCATGGCAGTCGCCCACGTTCCCAAGACCTATCGCAGTAAGTTGGGGGCGAGTGCAATCTGGTGTGTGCATTTGGGGCTGGCTGCTGAGAGCAAGGGATGGCTGCTGTGGGAACCCTCCAAGGGTGTGTTATTTGACAGCAGGGATGTGAAGTTTGTTGAGGGCATGATGTATGGGAGCTGGGAGAAACAGCCGGAGGCCAGGGTGTCCCAGCAGATGGAGCAGATTACCATGCAGCTGGACCTGACTCCTAGTGTGTGGGAGGAGGGAGAGGAGGCAGCTGCAGAGGGTGGTGATAAAGAGAAGGTGCAGGAGGCACCTGCTGGTGGAGGTGATGGTGTGGAGATTAGCGGTAGCACTAGTGGAGCTGCTGGATCCGAGGGAGGAGAGCAGCAGCAGGGGAAAACTAAGAAGCCGAAGGGTGTTATTATGAAGGGATGGGAGACACCCGTCTCCAGGCCAGGACGTACCCGTATGGCTACTAAGAAGCTGACTGCAGGAGCTGATGTAGCGGAGCAGCAGCTTGGGACCGAGGAGGCATTGCTGATTCTACCGCATGGCTATGACCCGGATGAGGAGGATCAACCTGCGTACTGTTTTCTTGCCCCTGCACCAGAGGAACCAGCTAGCATGGAGGAGGCATTAGCTGGACCAGATAGGGACAAATGGCTAGCTTCCAGGGATGCTGAATACCAGAGCCTGCTGGAGAATGGGACTTGGGAACTAGTGGTGCTGCCTGAGGGAAAGAAAGCGGTACAATGCAAGTGGGTGCTAAGGATCAAGACTGACGACAAGGGGCAGGTCACCATCTACAAGAGTAGGTTGGTGGCTAAGGGGTTTATGCAGAAGGAGAAGCGGGACTTCAATGAGATCTTTGCTCCCACTGCCAAACCCCCTACCCTTCGTGTCTTGTTGGCAGATGCAGCCGTTGGTGGGAAGTTCATTATCCAGATGGATATATCAACGGCATTCCTCAATGGGATTTTAGAGGAGGAGGTGTTCATGACGCAGCCACCTGGGTATGAGGATGGTACGGGCAGGGTGTGCAAGCTGAAAAAGTCCATCTACGGCTTGAAGCAGGCGCCACGCTGCTGGTACCAGAAGTTGGCAGCTGTTTTAGAGGAGATGGGATTCAGGACCAGCAGCTGTGATGAGAGCCTCTTTCTCAAGGGGGAGGGGGAGAAGCTGGTGCTGTTTCTGGTCTATGTGGACGACATTCTTCTCTTTAGCAGCAGCATGAAGGAGATCCAGAAGGTGCAGCAGCAGCTGATGGAGAACTTCAAGTGCAAGAACCTTGGGGAGGTAAAGTACTACCTCGGGATGCACGTAGAGAGGGATCCAGATCACAGGTGGTTGAAACTGCACCAGGAGAAGTTCATCAAGGAGCTTGGGGAGAAGTATGGAATTGAGAATGAGCGCAAGGTTGCAACTCCCCTGCCAGCAGAATTCAAGCTTGTGAAAGCTGCAGAGGATGAAGGAGTTGAAGCCGAGGAGCAGCAGCAATTTCAGTCCTTGGTGGGCAGCCTCTTGTATGCAGCAGTTCACACGAGACCCGACATCTCTTTCTCGGTTGGGCAGCTGGCTAGGGTAGTGCAGAATCCATCAGAGGAGCAGGTGGATGCAGCTGAGCGTGTGGTGAAGTATCTGAACTCTCACCCAAGCATTGGAGTTCAATACTCCGCATCTGCACAGGTGAAGCAGAAAGGGGTTGAGGTGCTGAAAGAGAAGGGGGAGAGGCTTGGAGAAGGCAAGCTTTTTCTCACTTGCTTTACTGATGCTACGTGGGCCTCTGAGAAGGAGGATTCCTCATCTGTGGGAGGATACATCTGCGTAGTTGGGGGAGGACCGGTTAGTTGGAGGTCAAAGAAGCAGACGGAGACAGCACTCTCTTCCGTGGAGTCAGAGTACATGGCGATGTTCCATGGGGTGAAGGAGGTGATTTGGCTGAGGAGGTTGTTAGAGGAGATTGGCCAGGAGCAGAAGGTTGCTACGCCGCTGTTTTGTGATAGCAAGGGGGCTCTTGGGATGGCCAGGAACGCTGTGCTTCATGGGCTGAACAAGCACATGCGTATCAAGTGGCACTGGCTGCGTAAGGAGGTGAAGAGGGGGACGGTGAATCCGATCTACATCAAGACTCACCAGCAGCCAGCGGACTTCCTCACCAAGAGGCTTGCGGATGAGTCTCATTGGCGTTGTGTGCGCATGAGTGGAATGAGCATGAACTAGTATGGAATGATGGGGATGCAGCCGGCAGGCTGAGGGGGAGTGTGTTGGGTGCAAATTCACATTGCACGACATCCTGCCGTCTGTTTGTACGAGTATGCGTGTGCGAATGCATTTGCGTGTGAATGGTATGTTTGTGTGTTTGTTTGCTTTCGCAATTTTCGCTTGAAGCATTTGCAGGTACTCGCAAAATGTGCGCTTCGGCATAACATTGTACGCGCTATGAACAGTACAAGCAGAAAGGACGAGCTCGCAAAGGAACCCAAGATGGAAGCTTTGCGGTTCAACTTACTTGATTGCGCAGATTCAGTTCTATCCAACTCGAAATTGTACTGTTTTGTTTGGTTGTCTATAGTGTAGCAGGGCAGGCACTATAGGGGTACAATTTAGGTGAAGGTTGGATGTTGTTTGTCTGTATCTGCATGCTACAGGGCCAGGGGAAACCAGCGGAACCAGCATTTGGCTGGTTGGGCAAAGACAAAACAGGTTCTGTTTTTAGGACCTGAACCTGGTTGTTGTTTTCCCAGGTTGGAAAAACAGAACCAGAGGTTGTTCACCAACCTATCACCTGCTATTTTGTCCAGCCAGGTTGGTTCTGTTGCTTGGAATTATTTGGGATCATCCCTGGTTGTTCCCAGGTTGATTCCCAAGGTCCTTGCTAGCTAGAGCTATTTATTCCTTCTCTGTTTGTACCTGAATATAGTGAAATTGATTCAAGCAAATTCCTTCCTTGCTGGAATTTCTTGTCTACGCGGTGCGACGGCGGAATGCTACCCGAGTCAACGCTAGTACGCTAGCACTCCAACGCTAGGCTAACGCTGTCCGAGCCATAACTTCGTAATGGCAGAACATTTCGCGAGGCAACTTGGCTTATTTTAAAGCTCTTAGAGTGAGCTTCGATATAGGAAATTCTCAGCTTAATCCGATCGACGGTCTGCACGATACGCTGCGCGACGTTCAAGGTACTCTTGCTGTTTTGACTAAGTCCCTCTTGATTCCTCTCTCTACAAACTCGGACCCGAGGATAGGGGCTGGTCTTGTACCAGGCACCCAAGGACCCTTGGAGGTGACCCCGAGGAGAGGTTTTAAGTGTGATAAAGTCTTAATAGCTTGAGTTTATTAGGCCCTTACACCAACAACCATGTCATGCACCTGCTGCCGGAAGTTGAGTGCGGTTAGAAGGCGTGGACCGTATTAAAGAACCTGCACGCCCCGACCTCCGTTGTTGCAACGTTGATGCTGGAGAGGGAGCTGTCCGCGTTGCGCCTGAGCGAGGGAGAGCCGGTGCAACCTGTCCGGGACAAGATGCGCGACCTCCTCCGCGAAGTTAGCGACCGCGGGAATCACCTACCCGGAGCAGACCAAGTGCCTGAAGATGCTCTCGCTGCTGCCGGAATCGTGGCTTCAATTCATGAGCGGATTGAGTCTGCCGCAGAACCAGAGCTCGTGGACACTCGAGTGGGTGCGGACAAAGATTCTGGAGGAGGACTTCCGTCGACGCCAACTAAGGGGTGGAGACGACGGCAGCAGCGGCTATGGGATGCAAGGGAGCCAACGTGGCAGAGGACGTGGCTTCGGTGGAGCTGGATGTGGTGCAAAGAAGGACGATGACTCCAACGACCAACAAGGAGGTACCGGTTGGGGTCGCGGTGCGAAATCTGGACGTGGGGGCAAGTCGGGTGCTGGTGGCAAAATGAAAGGGAGTTGCTGGTATTGTGAGAAGGAGGGGCACCCCTGGTTTTTGTGCTATAAGAAACCCGATGGATGGACCCCCCAGAATCGTCACCAGGATGGCGGCGCGCGGAGGAACCAGAAAAACGGCGCGAGCATGGTCGCCCATTCGTCCGACAACAACCCGAAGAGCAACGGTGGTGCGGAGAAGAAGAAGGAGCGCACCGCGGGCCAGTTCTTCCATATTGGAGAGCAGGGGGAGCAAGGAGACGCCTCTGCCAAGGTTGGAGCAGAGCTGTACTCCCTGAACTATTGGGTGTTGGACACGGGCGCTACTTGGACGATGACGCCGCGCAAGGACCTGCTAGATGACTTACGAGCTGCACCGATAAATGAGCTGTGCTCTGCCTTTGGACACGCGCTGAAGGTGGCTGGTGCGGGATGAGCTGCGTTTAAGGGAGCGGATGGCAAGCCGGTGGTATTGCATGACGTTCTCCTTGTTCCTGATCTCAAGGAGAACCTCATCTCCCTCCGTAAGCTTGGCAAGTCTGGGGTGAGCACTAGCACGGATAGGGCACGTACGTAGAAGGGGCAGCTAGGCAATTGGGTGCCTTGGGATTTGCACGAGAGCACAGACGTGTACAGATTCGTCTGGCAGCTGCCGGCATTGGCGTTGCACGATGAGGGGCAGGCTGGAGAGGGGTTTGTATCCCAAGAGAAGTGCAACCCCGTTGGAGGGGTTGGTGAAAAAGTGTCGGCCAGATCGGGGGAGACAGATTGGGCAACGGCACACCGACGCTTGGGGCATGTAGCAATGCCTTTGCTGAACCAGCTGGAGAAGGATGGGGTTGTTAAGGGTCTAAAGCTGAATGGCCAGCCACCTGATGAAAATTGTGAAATATGCTTGCTATCCAAATTCACCCGTTTCCCCTTCCATAGTGTGACTGGCAGGATCAAGAAGCCTTTAGAGTTGGTCCACATGGACTTGGTGGGGCAGCTGTCGGTTTAGGGGCACAAGGGGGAGCGGTACTTTCTGACTATAGTGGATGATTGGAGGAGGCTTATATGGGCATATCCATTGAAGCAGAAGGACCACGCAGCCTCTACGATACGGGAAGATTGGCTGCTATTCGTGGAGAAGCAAGCGGAGTGTGTGGTGAAGCGGATTAGGACAGATTGGGGTAGTGAGTTCATTGGAGCTGAGATCACGGCCTGCCTCAACAAGCAGGGCATCTAGAGGGAGCTGACAACGGCGTACACCCCACAGTCCAAAAGTCTAGCAGAACGGGAGAACTGGACAACTCTGGAGACAGCTAGGGCATTGCTCATAGAATCTGGGCTAGGCAACTTAATGTGGCCCCATGCTGTCCGGCACGTTACCGTGGCTAGGAACAGGGTGCTCAATAAGGTTAGGGATGGCTTTTGGGTTCCGTTGGAGAGGTGGCTTGGGAGGAAGCCGCCGGTTGACATGCTGAGGGTGTTCGGTTGCATGGCAGTCGCCCATGTCCCCAATAAGTATCGAAGTAAGTTGGGGGCGAGTGCAATCTGGTGTGTGCATTTGGGGCTGGCTGCTGAGAGCAAGGGATGGCTGCTGTGGGATCCATCCAAGGGTGTGTTGTTTGACAGCAGGGATGTGAAGTTTGTTGAGGGCATGATGTATGGGAGCTAGGAGAAACAGCCGGAGGCCAGGGTGTCCCAGCAGATGGAGCAGATCACCATGCAGCTGGACCTGACACCTAACGTGTAAGAGGAGGGAGAGGAGGCATCTGCAGAGAAAATATAGGAGGCACCTGCTGGTGGAGAAGATGATGTGGAGACTAGTGGTAGCACTAGACGAGCTGCTGGATCCGAGGGAGGACAGCAACAGCAGAGGATAACTAAAAAGCCGAAGGCTGTCGTTATGAGGGGATGGGAGACACCGGTATCCAGGTCAGGACGTACCCGTATGGTTACTAAGAAGCTGACAGCAGGATCAGGTTTAGCGGAGCAGTAGCTTGGGATCGAGGAGGCATTGCTGATTCTGTTGGTGTAAGGGCCTAATAAACTCAAGCTATTAAGACTTTATCAAACTTAAAACCTCTCCTCGGGGTCACCTCCAAGGGTCCTTGGGTGCCTGGACAAGACCAGCCCCTATCCTCGGGTCCGAGTTTGTAGAGAGAGGGATCGAGAGGGACTATGTCAAAACAGCAAGAGTACCTTGAACGTCGCGCAGCGTATCGTGCAGACCGTCGATCGGATTAAGCTGAGAATTTCCTATATCGAAGCTCACTCTAAGAGCTCTAAAATAAGCCAAGTTGCCTCGCGAAAAGTTCTGCCATTACGAAGTTATGGCTCGGACAGCGTTAGCCTAGCGTTGGAGTGCTAGCGTACTAGCGTTGACTCGGGTAGCATTCCGCTGTCGCACCGCGTAGAAAGGAAATTCCAGCAAGGAAGGAATCCGCTTGAATCAATTTTACTATATCCAGGTACAAACAGAGAAGGAATAAATAGTTCTAGCTAGCAAGGACCTTGGGAATAAACCTGGGAACAACCAAGGATGATCCCAAATAATTCCAAGCAACAGAACCAACCTGGCTGGACAAAACAGCAGGTGGTAGGTTGGTAAGCACCTCTGGTTCTGTTTTTCCAACCTGGGAAAACAACAACCAGGTTCAGGTCCTAAAAACAGAACCTGTTTTGTCTTTGCCCAACCAGCCAAATGCTGATTCCGCTGGTTTCCCCTGGCCCTGTAGCATGCAGATACAGACAAACAACATCCAACCTTCACCTAAATTGTTCCCCTATAGTGCCTGCCCTGCTACACTATAGTCAACCAAACAAAACAGTACAATTTCGAGTTGGATAGAACTGAATCTGCGCAATCAAGTAAGCCGAACCGCAAAGCTTCCATCTTGGGTTCCTTTGCGAGCTCGTCCTTTCTGCTTGTACTGTTCATAGCGCGTACAATGTTATGCCGAAGCGCACACTGCGCGAGTACCTGCAAATGCCTCAAGCGAAAATTGCGAAAGCAAACAAAAACACGAACATTCCATTCATACCCAAATGCATTCGCACACGCATACTCGTACAAACAGACGGCGGGATGTCGTGCAATGTGAATTTGCACCCAACAGATTCTACCGTATGGCTATGACCCGGATGAGGGGGATGAACCTGCCTAGTGTTTTCTTGCCCCTGCACCAGAGGAACCAGCTAGCATGGAGGAGGCATTAGCTGGACTAGTAAGGGAGAAGTGGCTGGTTTCCAGGGATGTTGAGTACCAGAGCCTGCTAGAGAATGGGATATGGGATCTTGTGGTGCTGCCCGAGGTAAAAAACCCGTTCAGTGCAAGTGGGTGCTAAGGATGAAGACCGATGACAAGGGACAGATCACCATCTACAAGATTAGGCTTGTTGGTAAGGGGTTTATGCAGAAGAAGAAGCAGGACTTCAACGAGATCTTTGCTCGAACTGTCAAACCCCCTACCCTCCATGTCTTGTTGGGAGATGCAGCCGTTAGTGGGAAATTCATCATTCATATGGATATATCAACGGCATTTCTCAATGGGATTTTAGAGGAAGATGTATACATGGCGCAGCTGCCTGGGTATGAGGATGGTACGGGCAGGGTGTGCAAGCTGAAAAAGTCCATCTACGGCTTGAAGAAGGCGCCAAGCTGCTGGTACCAGAAGTTGGCAGCTGTTTTAGAGGAGATGGGATTCAGGACCAGCAGCTGTGATGAGAGCCTCTTTCTCAAGGGGGAGGGGGAGAAGCTGGTGCTGTTTCTGGTCTATGTGGACGACATTCTTCTCTTTAGCAGCAGCATGAAGGAGATCCAGAATATGCAGCTGCAGCTGATGGAAAACTTCAAGTGCAAGAACCTTGGGGAGGTAAAGTACTACCTGGGTTGTACAGGTGGTTGAAGCTGCACCAGGAGAAGTTCATCAAGGAGCTGGGGGAGAAGTATGGGATTGAGAATAAGCGCAAGGTTGCAACTCCCCTGCCAGCAGAATTCAAGCTTGTGAAGGCTGCAGAGGATGAAGGGGTTGAAGCCGAGGAGCAGCAACAATTTCAGTCCTTGGTGGGCAGCCTCTTGTATGCAGCAGTTCACACAAGGCCCGACATCTCTTTCGCAGTTGGGCAGCTGGCTACGGTGGTGCAGAATCCATCACAGGAGCAGGTGTATGTAGCTGAGCGTGTGGTGAAGTATCTGAACTCTCACCCAAGCATTGGAGTTCAATACTCCGCATCTGCACAGGTTAAGCAGACAGGGGTTGACGTGCTGAATGAGAAGGGGGAGCGGCTTGGAGAAGGCAAGCTGTTTCTCAATTGCTTTATTGATGCTACGGGGGCTTCTGAGAAGGAGGATTCCTCATCTGTGGGAGGATACATCTGTGCAATTGGGGGAGGACCCGTTAGTTGGAGGTCAAAGAAGCAAACAGAAACGGCACTCTCTTCCGTGGAATCAGAGTACATAGCGATGTTCCATGGGGTGAAGGAGGTGAGTTGGCTGAAGAGGCTGTTAGAGGAGATTGGCCAGGAGCAGAAGGTTAAAAAGCCGTTGTTTTGTGATAGCAAGGGGGCTCTTAGGATGGCCAGGAACGCTGTGCTTCATGGGCTGAACAAGCACATGCGTAAGGAGGTGAAGAGGGGGACGGTGAATCTGATCTACATCAAGACTCACCAGCAGCCAGCAGACTTCCTCACCAATAGGTTTGTGGATGAGCCTCATTGGCGTTGTGTGCGCATGAGTGGATGGAGCAAGAACTAGAATGGAATGACGGGGATGCAGCCGGTAGGCTGAGGGGGAGTGTGTTGGGTGCAAATTTACATTGCACGACATCCTGCCGTCTGTTTGTACGGGTATGTGTGTGCGAATGCATTTGCGTATGAATGGAATGTTCGTGTGTTTGTTTGCTTTCGCAATTTTTGCTTGATGCATTTGCAGGTACTCGTGCATTGTGCACTTCGGCACAACATTGTACGCGTTATGATCAGTACAAGTAGAAAGGACGAGCTCGCAAAGGAACCCAAGATGGAAGCGATGCGCTTCGGCTTGCTTGATTGCACGGCTAGAGGATGTGAGGACATGTCATGAGGCTTGGGAGTACGGAAAGACACTCCCCTGGGCGGTCGTCGAGGTTGGCATCCGCGCTGTGTGGGCGTTGGAGCACTCTTCTTATCCAGCTTCTCCTCGACCGTTGAACATAGCAAGTGGCGTCGACGTGGGCGTCAACGCCGATGGTGACCAGGTCGGCAGCAATACGGGAGGTGCGTCAAGGCACAGAGGAGTTGTTAACGCCGATGAAGTCAGCGGCGTTCAGGCACAAAAGATGCAGTCATCGGCGGCTGCAGAATTCTTGCAAGGCGACGTCAGAAGTCGTCAAAGCGGATTGATGCCGTCTTCGGCGAATCACGTGACAGTGGGTAATATAGCGCTGAGCTACAGCTATTTCAAGTTTACACC